ACTGCCCCCGTAGAGCTGAATTGATTTAAATGAAGAAGCTATGAATATTTTAAAGGGTAGAACCCTCCTTTAACCTGAACTGTTTCGATCTCCCTCCCATCCCTGTGTGTGTGTGTGTGTGTGTGTGTGTGTGTGTGTGTGTGTGTGTGTGTGTGTGTGTGTGTGTCACACACTCATGTCGTAACAGTACAGACACAGGGGAGAATGTAATTATTGATAGTGAGATTACAGCCCTATTGTGACAATGTCTGCAATCAGCTGCCTTCTTTAAGCCCTGATGAATCAATGACACTGCCTGGATCTTTTCTGTCTGCCCTGCTTTGTTCATCAAAGTGGGCTTTGCAGTGTACACCAACCCTTGTTTGGGGATTTAGCGTCAAACCAAACTGGTGTACAGTACTCTCTGACTGATGCCTCTGGCTAATTCTCTCTACAAACAAGCTGGGGCCCATCGCTGGGTCTGAGCGTGTGTTCATGTGTGCACAAAAAAAAAAACTGGCCAGACAAAAATATGCTGAATTTCTGACATTCTCAATGTGGAATGACACGGCAATATGTCACCTCTAGGAGAAAATAAAAGTTGCCAGTCAGCTATAGCACTGTTTGTTTGTGTCCAAAAGGTAGTTGCTCTGCCGGTGTTCAAGGTGACAGACCACACCCACTCATTACTCTTTAAAAAAAAAAAAAAGAAAAAAAAAGAAGACTGAAACAACGATCGCTATCAAACAAAAACATGCCTCTTTGTTGCTCCTGGTAACCTTGTGGCATGGCGAACATCCACTTCTGAGGGCATCTCTATTTAGTAAACGATGAATCACATTAAAAAGGGCAGCAACCGCTCTGACGGTTGGTGGCAAGGTGCCGCATTGGGAGCGAGTGATGGCAGGTTGTGAAATGCTGCCCCGCGGCCTTTCCCAGGAGAGCGGCGGCAGCAGTGCTGAACTCCCTTCACCCCTCTGCCATTACAAACATACCTTGATGACAAAATGTGTTATTGATGTTCACCTGAAGGTGAAGGCATACGTGTTTCTGTGGACACACTGATCTCTCTCTCTCTCGCTCACACACACACACACACACTCTTGCTGTGGCGTTCCAGGCATTCAGGCTACTAAATCACTGTCGCCAATGGCTGAAAGGGGTTAGGCAGACGTGGTACAATACCAAGCCTGCTTGACGCTTTCCTCCCCTGGAAGAACACAGGACCTTGCCTCAATGCTGTCCATCCATCCTGCCACTTCCATCAAGTTGGGATCAACAAAACCCCAGGAGGAAAGGCCCATTCTCTCATCAGTCTGTCCGTAGAAACACTGAGGTGCATGGACGTTTTAAGAGCATGCAGAAAATATCATAAAGCTCAGGGACTTGGCACTGACATAAAGGACAGACACTGCACTGTATTTAGACCTGGGATTTGCATTACCACTTTATGTCAACAAAGTCACAAGCTGTAATTTTACTAAAGTTGTAAACAGCTTTGCCAAGAAATCCTGAGTGGATTGATCAAGATAATAAATGCGGTACTTTATGTTCTGCCTCGGTGGATGACCCTTCTCTCCAGCTGTTTACAACAGCAGCTTCCCTTCAATGTCAGAAACTGACAGTACTCCAGCCAAATCTGTTCCAGGACAGGACGGGCCGCTCTCTGTTTATTCTCTGCTGTTCATGTTTTTCCCAATTCTCAGCGCACACTTGCCAAATAAAATCTGCATATATAAATAAAGAGGGGAATGAAGTGATATTCTCAGTTCTCTCGCAAGGCCAACACCAATCTGCCGGCCTGCACAAAGTCCAAACGCATCACCCACAGTTCTCCGTGCTGCTGCCTAACAACACAAGCAATTAGGGACACTCTTGCTGTGCTGTCTGATGCTGCAGTCTCTCAAAACGCCAAGAGAGAAGCCACATGGGTTTGCTCTTCACCAGCAAAGCACAAACCTTTCTTGTTTTTTTTTTGTTTTTTTCCCGCTTCAAAAATATTCACTCATTTCCCAAAGTTGCTCCTGCTCTTACAGTCCGGTGCGGCAAAAAACAATCAAATGCCATCTGTTTTTTTTTTTTCCTCTGGCCTCGTCTCCTGCTAGGCAAAAGGACTTCTGCACTTAAATACCATGAGTCAGATTAGGCTGCCAGTCACTTGTCCCTCAGACACACAGTGTTCGTGTCCAATAGCCCACTTGGCAGGCCCTGCTTTCTGAAGACAAACTAGCTAAAGCTCGCCCTCCTCTCTGCCTCGTCTACTCTCTATGGAAATCCCTGGTGACCGCTTTCTTTCGGACTGTGGACAGCCTGGGAAAAAAAACAAAAGAGCAAGGAGCCTGTGGGCTGGTGAGCATTTGAGCCCACCATGCAATCCCTCTTTCCTTCATACCCCCATTTTTTTTAGTGTGTGACAGTCATGTGAACAAGGCCATGCACATTCTTTCATGCATGAGCCCGTAATTGCTGTAAGGATCCTGACAGGCGCTCGGTGAAAATTTTAAGTGCGTTTAATCTGCAAGGCCAGGGCCTTTTCACCATAAAGATTCAACGCTGTTGCTCTGAATATAACCAGACTAGAAGTGGCTTGCTGACACTGCCTGTGACTGGGCGAACCTGCACTGAAAACAGTTAAGCAACTCAAATCGCAGCATCTTCAAGGAACTAATAACATCAAGGATGAAGCGTCCATATGATCTGGATGTGTGCCCAGCCACTTAATGGGTCCAGGAGGTTGTTTTAGGCCAGATTTACTTCAGCGAAGATGTCACTGAGTGCACTCTTAGAGCCAGAGAGCTCGTCTGTAAAGCCTGTAATGAATAGTTAGATCCAATGTGGAGAGGTTGAAAAAACAGGAGGACCAAAAAGGAAAAGCACAGAGGGGGTAAAAAAAAAAAAAAAAAAAAAATTTTTAGCTCCACCAGCAGTCTGTTTCTAAACCCACGTGCAGAGGATAACATACCATGAGACTACTGTCTGTGAAGTTAGTACTCTAAAAAGGAAAAGCCAGAAACAGATAAAGCCAGCAGATGTTTTTGGGATTGCCTCGTGCTTTTTGAGCCTGGCTGGTTTGGATTCTTGCTTAAGAACACGAGGTGAAAAAAAGAAATCTTGCTCTGTTTTGTTTGTTGTGTTTTCTACCCCTATGATCCAATAAGCCTCCGAGCCACATGATGACACTAACGGATGTTGTGCCTCTCTACTCTACAACCCCCCACTCCCAACCTCCACCACCACGCCACCAACCTATCCCTGGTTATGCAGTGAAATTTTTTATTAGCAGAAGCAGTAAGGCAAAGAGCAGATATGCCACCACCTCAACTCCTCCGTTGAGCAAAACAATGTGGAGTCGACTAAGGGATCAGAGGTCTTTTCCTGGGCCCACCACCCCCCCAACCCACCCACCCCCCACCAGTCTCCCTCAGACAAGCTCACATGGTTTGAATCAATGTTGCCACTAGAGCTGTTTAGTGGGCCAGTTTGAGAAATACTATCAAGCTCGCTGGATATCTGCTTTGAAAGAATGTATCGGACTTGTTCTTTTAGTCAGGAGGAATTTCTAATCTCATCCGACTTGGAAAAACAAGCAGTGAAGAGAGAGAGGGAGAGAGAGGGAGAGAGACAGAGAGAAAGACTACAGCGCAAACAAAACCAATTTGAGTGCTTTTGTTGTTGCCGCCAAACATCAGAAATTCCTGTTTAAATTTCCCTTTGTCGTGTGTTTCTATAGTCTTGAGACGAGGAGGAAATTGGCCCTTAAGAGCCTGTGGAGATTCCTGCCTTTTACGCTCCTTCAGCTGTGAAAGACAACAGAGCTATCTCTTCTATAAAGGCCCGCTCGAGCTTTGTGCAGTGCAGCTCCTTTGAGGTAAAGAATGGGAAGGGCCTCTGTGATACTTTGTTGTTGCAATAAAACTCTCTCTTATTGCAGCAGATACAGTGTCGCTGAGCTGAAATCTCCCATGGCTGCCAAAGGTGGAAAACTATACACCAAAAAAATAAATAAATATATATATATATATATATTATATATATATATATAACTAAATCAAGTGCAAACTAAATCACTTAACCAAACTAAGTCTCGCTGAGATTTCAAAACCACCACCAGACACTGGCATGCTATTTTTAGACATGACAGAAAGCCTGTCATCCTCAATCCTTGGTACATGAGCCAACAAATACATTTTCTGGGTGTATTTATTAGAGTTTAAATATTTATTTTTCATATTCTAATGTGTGTGAAACAACTGAAAATGTTAAGCTATTAAAATAAATATATGATTTAAACATCAAGCTGTAGAATTAATTATTAGAGAACACCCTGTTCTCATCATTCCCCAGCTTTACTAAATTTAAATGACTGGTTATAAATACATTTAATTAGCTCAAAGCCTGATTAAACAACATTAATAACGTTATATAGGCAGGACTGTCCAGTTCAGGCCGTGCTGCTCAGGAAACTGTGGCCTGTGGGTGCAGCTATCCAGATTACCAGAGGAACCGAGGGATAACACTGGCAGGAAAGTTTGATCTGATTAACGTTGGCAAGGCTTGCAAAACCTTGTTTGTATTTAGTGCATATTTCAGGAACGCAAAGGCTTTGGATAACGTGGCCTGGATCAGAGCGCCGCAGTCTCACTGAGGTTTCTCCGGGAGAAAAAAAAAATGCCCAAACCTGGACGCACAGTGAGGCAGAAGAGATGGAACGGAAAGTGGGTCAAGTATATATTATGCAGTTATTGAGCTCAGTGATGGCGATAGCATGCAACGCTGTTTGGCACATATTATGGGGTTTAAATAATTGAAATAAAACAGGCTGGTGACACAGAAATAAAGGCCTTATAATGCCGATTTTAGTCGCATCTATCGCGTGATTAAAAATAAATAGGCTAAATAACAAAATGGAAAACACACTATTCATTCAGGCTATGAATACACACACAGGCTCGGACATGGGGGTTTTTAACTTTAACACCGTTCAGTGAAATGAAGTTGTGGAGGCAGGAAAAGGCACCTACAGTGATTGGAGCCGTTCCAGTGCTGGTTCCTGATGGACGTGCTGTAGGGATGGGGCGCTCCGGGCACCAGTCCTTTCTCTGGGATCAAGCATCCTCTGCTCTGGTTGTAGTAATCCATCATTAAAAACGGGTTCGGGCTGGGATTCAGTCCCACAACGTCCACACTCTCATACATCATACGAAGCAGGACGATAGCAGGGGATTATTGTCAAAAAACGAACTACTTGTCGTGAACGCAGGAACACACGAGCCTTGTGGTTTTCAGCTCGCCACCAGCAGAGGTAGAAACTGAGGGGGCCAAACGGGGGGAAACTGCATTAAAATCGAGGGGAAAGTGATAAATCCAAACACAGCGGGGACATTTGAACATTTGGCATCTTCTGATAGCGCTGTATGGATCGTAGACCAAATCGAGGAGTGAGTCAGTGTGTGAAGGAGCCTAATCGGCTGCGCTCAATTTGAAAACATAATTCAAGAGAGCAGTCTGCATGGTGTCCAACGCAGGAACACGGCACACACACAAAAAAATAAATCGAAAACGACCCGGATAACTTCAGCAGAATATATCGGTCCTGTCGGCCTTGCTCAAACAGAGAGCAACATTTGAGGCTGTATCCACGCCACAAAGAGAACACAAGCCGGATAAAATCCCAGAAAAGAGAACACTAATCTCCAAAGTCCGTGTCGACAACACAGGGGGGGGGGGAATTATCGATGGGCAGAAGGTGCAAATATCAGAGAGGAAATCCCGTCTAGTTGCAGTTCGTCCTTCGGGTTACGGTCGGTTGTCCCGTTTGTGCCCGCCGTGGGTGGACTCCTGTCAGCACCGTAAATGAACCGGTCTCCCTCCGTGCGCTGCTACAACAACCGGCGGCTTCCCTCGGTCGGAGCCCGCTCTCTAACATCCAGGTTCGCACGAAACACGCAGCACCGCCTTGTTTGTATTTGGAGAGAGAAGGCTAAATCATTCCCACACCAAACCGTGCGGCTATCATGTTCTGCAGAAATGTGACAAGGCACAGCAGCTGAGGACTTTGGCTCCACCTCCACTAGGCTCTTTTTGCTTTTTTTTTTTTTTTTCCTTTCTGCCTTCCCTCGATCTCCTTTCATGCGTTGCTCCTCCTACGTTTAACCCCTTCAGGGACGTCACTATGGATCTCCCTCTCTCGAAACACGGGCCGTGCATGGGACTGTGGAGGGGGGAGCCCACCGCCCTCCCTCAAATTTAGGTGCGGGGGCTTTAAATAGAAACGAATTAGAGGACACGATTAAGTTATATAAGCTCAGTAATGAGTCTTTCATATCTTTACATGGAGTTCATGGACATAATGAGTGCTGCGCCAGACTCTATCTCTCACTCTTTTTCCTGGAAGTTCCCGTCTATGTTCTCACTCTTTATTTGGGCTCCTCCTTCCAACTAATTTGACCCTCTCCCCCATGCTCTCATCAGTCCCTACCCCTCGATTTTTTCTCCCCCAGCCTCTGTCTCCCTAATTTGCCTAATGCTATGCGGCTGAACTTTTCCTGAACCCAGGGAAGTAGGCAGCCTCACCTCCTGGTGACCCACTGGCTGACTCGGATTCGCCTCTCTGGCTCGCTCTCATCCCACATTATTCAAGGTTTCCCACCTTGTACACTCAGTGTAACACCATTACACTTCCTCGAGTGCTGCCCAGAGAGGCGCCTCAGTTCACCCGGCATTCAAAAAAGTAACAAAAGCAAAGTCACCCAGTCATGGTAACTGACACTTAACTTTTCTCACAGTGTAGCTGCAGCTGGAATAAAGTCCAGGAAGTTGTTCTGCTTCAAGAGTTGCATCACCTCCTTAATCAAAGGTTACTCCACCTTTACTCTGCAGCATTCCATGCAGCATTGTTGCAACTTGTTAAGGGAACATGCAGCTGTGTCACACAGGAGCCCCGGGTCCGTGCCAAAGCTGTCGTAGCACAGCTTTAAAGGTTTGACTATTTTTCTTTTCCAGCTGATGCGAACGTCAATGCCACAGTCCCTAAAACACGTCCAAACTTTTCACAAACACAACATCGGTCTCATGTCGTAGTCATGTCGGAGAGCTTTTTTCGAAAGCAGTGGCCTATGATTGTGATGTGATCTGGAGTGGCTACAGCCGCAGCCTCGAGTAGCCTGCACATGCTTGGTGGTAGAGATGAAGGCCAAGCACCCATATCATACTGTATGATTATTTTCACCTTCACAATGGCAAGAGTGAAAATTTTGGTTCTTTAAATAGAAGACCACATAGGACAATATCGAGCATGTTTAATAATGACTGGGACGTCCCAGACAAGGTCAGGAGGAGGAGAGGCCAGGCTCTGAGCTGCAGATTCTGACAACTTGCCTATGACAGCAGAATTACCTGTCCCATCCAATTGTCTGGTGGACATGCATTCTTAAGCAGTTTCCTACTGTTGTGGTTTGTCAGTGTGGTATCTGGCCTTTTCAAATACATCTGCATCAATGTGGATATGGCCAAAAACCTGTGTGACTTGTGCTGTAATCTACACCACTGCCTGAACAATACCTCTCCTCCCCCACCTTCCCTATACCTGAGCCACAGGCCACAGCTGGGTCTGACTAACACAGTTTTTGAGAGGGATTATCTGCATGGAGCCTGGCGGGGGGGGGGGGGTTCGGCCTGCTCCGCCCCCACTGACTGTGACACTTATTTAATGCAGACCCCCGCGTGTTTACCCTGCCTGATAAGAGCCCAGTGTGCAGGCCTGGGCCGCAGCGACCCCTTGCCCGCGCTGATAGCACAGCCACACATTCCTTGACAGGATTAGCCCTGTGAGTAATGGCTGTCAGAAAATGCTAATTTTCCAGGCTCTGTTTTCTTCTCCAAGGGGACGGCATTCATCCTCGGGTAATACCCTGCGATTGCATAAAACAAGCTAGGAGATAACGGATTGTTGATCATTGCTTATTACAGGGGCGGGGGGGGGGATACGAGATTAGACCTGAAAACGTCCTTTTGCCACAGCTTTCTCACATTTATTTCTTAAACAAAGAAGTCGCTTTGTCTTGCTTAATAAAACTGAATATATCAAGGCACCTAAGATTAAATAAATGTGGTATTTTTTATTTTCACAGGAGGGAAGAGAAAGAGGAACAGAGGGCTCCTTGGGGTTGACAGTTTGGGAATTGGGTGTACTACATTACACCAATGGAAAAATGAGCACTGGTTTAGTGCCAGGTGGAGGCCAGTCTGTACGTGCACACACATAATATGAATATGAAGTGCTAAGACACACACTTGACAACTGGTGCCATGAATATGGGGGAAGTGAGAGTGATCAGTGGTCTCTATTGTGTCTTCATGACTGTGTAAAGACTAAGTAGACTGAGAGTCACGAGAGGTTCAGCCCACGTTAACACAGCAGTCCAGGTGGCTGTTCCTGTTCCAGTATCAATAAGCACTGCAGTCCTGAGGACATGGAAAAGTACTCTGGCGCAAAGCAAAGCTAGAAAGAATGAGATTGTGTGCTTGATCCCTTAACTTGTCACCGAGAGGCAAGTCTCAGTTTCGTGGCATGAGCTTCAAAGTGTTGCTGCATGAGGTCCAGGCAAACCGACGGAGGGGTCTGATTAAAGCACCATTCAGACACAGAGGCCTCGCAGGAATAGATGGTTATGCAAGTGCAAATAATAGAGGGATACCACAAGCGGTAAACCTTGGTCGGTCCTTGATTTGGAGGAAAGCTAGAACTTAAGAGTCCAGCTGAGAGTTGGGGGAGGGAGAGCGGGAGAGTGAGGGAGAGAGGGGAGAAGGATTTTAGGAGGGAATTCAAAGAGTTTTATGGGCAAGGGCAGCGAGGAGATTGCTGGCTGGACCTTGAGGGTGTCAAACTATTTTTACTGCCCCACTCTCCTTCTTTCTTAGCCCAATCAGGGGTGTTAGGAAGCAGTAAAAGGTGCTTCCCCTGCCATTCCTCCCCCCCAAGGAGATGAGCCGACAGGTTAGAACAAACAATAGGTCGTTATGTCATTGGGATTATTGTACGCGATAAAAAAGAGGAGGAAGAGTGCCTTCTCTGTAAACGCACAAGCTGGAGTCAACAGTGTCGGAGCAGATCTTGGTTTAGCTAATGAGAGAGAATTCTTGTTGAATGCTAAGCAGATTCTGGAGAGGATCCACCAACATCTGCAATCAGCTGTCCCTTGACTCTTGTGTTCCTGCACTCTGGAGATCTTTTTTTTTCCCCCTCCTTCATGGCTATGAACATTTCCTGCACAGTGTGTTGATTATTGGAGTGGACGGTCAAATCAAAACAGACTGAAATCAAACTGTCCAAAAGTCGTGGAAAAGTCGACTGGGCTCTGGTTGGCCCGGAGACACTAAACAGGCTAAAAGGCAAAGGAAAAAACAGATCAGACCTGCCGTATCGCTCAGACAACACTTGGCACGGATAATAGCCATCTCCTGACAAGATAAGGCCAGACATGTTCGAGTTAGAATGGCCCGGGCCTAATTTTAGAGTTCCTGTCTGCCTTAGCGACTACTACACAAACACAGGCGCTCAAGCTACACCTCCCCCCAAGCTCTCCTGCACATGTGCCAGCAGATGGCTAATGCCCAGACGATAAAGAAGCTGGAAACCTCGGCAAAGCTTTCTATCTTTCTTAAATCTTCCCAGCGACCTAATAAAGCAGCACAGCAGGGAAAGACAGAGAAGATAAATTCAGAGGGGAAGTACTTTAAGGAGTTGAAATGTGCCCTAATTTGAGAGGCAGCAAGGGACGATAAGATAGTGATTGCATCTGTCCAGGTCTCTGTCACGCTGTGGGGCAAAACATGCTGTCTGCATGTTAGCAGCATTATCCCATGACTGTGATGATCAGCACCATAATCCGCCCCCCACCCCCACTCCTACCGGCGTCACGGTCCCAGCAGCCAACTTCCTCATGTCACTCTCTAACCACGATCACATCCCCCCCGAGTGTGTTTCTGTTGTGCGAGCCTAGGTGCGTGTTTGCTTTCAAGTCCACCTGAAGCTCTGCCGACCTGTCTGTTGCCACTCCGTTCCCAGTTCTGCCATTATAGTTTCTGTGTGTGTGTGTGTGTGTGTGTGTGTGTGTGTGTGTGTGTGTGTGTGTGTGTATGTGCGTGTTTGTTTGCACAGCTGGGTTTGTGCAGCCTGTACAGGCAGCACCAGCCAAACCCAACAGCTGTGCTCCCCGACAGCGAGCCAATGTGTAATGAGGGCCCGACCCTTCGATGTGAGAACAAGCTGCAGTTATCGATGAACACTGCACCACTTCCAGCTTCTTTCTGTCAATCTACTGGATACACACACACACACACACACACACACACACACACACACACACACACACACACAGACACACACACACACAGCCTGACCCAAAGTTAAACTGTTCTATAGATCTCTACATCGGTGCTGTGCTATCCTCAGTTTGTGTGTGCGTGTGTCTTTTCTAAAAATAATAAAAAAAGACCCTCTTAGTGGCTGCAGGGATCTTTGTGAAAGCTACCCCCCCTGTCATTATCCCTTTAATGTCCCTCCGACGGCAGATTCCAGCATTTATGGTACAGGCCTATATCTGCCCATAAAGCCTTTTATTGTTTAGCCCAGCTCTATGGTGGCCGTAACCTGGTTTTCCCATTTTTTATGGGGACCTTCACTATATCACAGGGGGGAGGACAAAGCTGCCTACCATCGGTGTTTACCAAAGTATGGCCCACTCATAAATCCATCATGGCCGGCGGCATTCTGGAAATACCTCAGCAGAGGGGGGGGG